GTATTGCTAAAGAACGGGAGGTCTTTTTAAGGAAAACTGGCCCCTATTTAGGCGTTACAGACGCGGAGAAATCCCAGTGTTCAGGGAACGAAGACCGCTTGGCCACTGGTGGGGCCTTCTTATTTTGGAGATAGACTAGTATAAAAATTATGCACCTGCCTTTGAAACATTTGTTATTTGCGCTGATGACACATCGAATAAAATTTGACTATATTAGTTTATTCAGAGCTATTACAGAAATTGCTGTAGATCATGATTTAACATTAAATTATATCATAACAGATTTTGAATTAACTGCGATGAAGTAAACGAAATGCTTTACCAAACATACAACGTCAAGGAAATTTAATTTAATAAAATAAGATCCCGCTTAATTCGATATAACGCGGTCTGCTCGAAGCCTAAAAAAAAAGCTCAAAATTTACGCCGATTTAAATTATCGCGGCATTTCATTGATTCGTATATAATACGATTATTTACGAACACGAACCAATCAGAAAAAGGTAGCAATTCGTCATAGCGCTGTACTTTTCTTAAATCTATGTTTGTTTCGTGCAATTTTGGAAAAAAATATGACATTAGCGTGACATGGATGCCATAGAAAATATCGACTTCGCTTGGCAAGAATTAACTGATAAATGCATGAACGAAGTGTGGAAAAGTTATGGCTGAAGGTATTCAAAAATTCTCAATGTAAAGAGCCTATCGCTGTATCGTTAGGTTGACAATTTTGTCAACCTAACGATACATATATACAAGAAAAATTTCGGCCGTACACGAAATGTTTAGCTGGCGGAAAAGAGGGTAAGGGAAAGGGGGGAAGAAGGAGGGAGAGGAGGTAGGAAAGGTAGGATCTCTCTGAACGGCGTACGTATGGCTACAGTACCCTCTATGTTTGATGTTGGCGTGCAGTTTTTAGGCTGCAAGGCCGTAGTCCCCCGAAGGGTCTAAAAGAAAACCTGAGTGTAGCGAACACCAATGATTCAGTGCTGCCACGAATAGCTAAGTGTAGAAATTAGTGCCAAGTGACTGTTAGTAGGAAGACTTATAACTACTTAATGCTAATGAAACTGAATGTGAGTGCGAATCTTAATACTACTAAACAGCTAGACAGACAGCGCGAAAAAACAAATGAATACAATGACAAACTAGACCAGACAAACGGACGGACAAATGACAAACACGCAAGACCCCAAATTTTTTTTATATTGTTTTTTATTTATTTATTTATTTGATTTATTTATTTTGAAATTTTATTTCGTTTATTTATTTATTTTTATTTTTTAAGGCAAAGACTATTAAAAACTAAAAATATAAAGAAAGTTTATTGCTACACATTCGGACGACATGTTTAAATTTATAAAAACTGGAAATGAAATAACTAGATATTTCTTTTATTTTTAAAAAAGATTTGTTGAAATTGTTTTTCGTAATGTTTATCATGAAATTTGTTGAAAGAGGAACGAGTTGTATCCGGATAAGGGAAGACCTACACAGTCTTCCCTCATCCGGATACAACTCGTTCCTCGGGTTTCGCTCAAGAGAAAGTGACTGTGTAGATCTTCCTGCAAGTAGACGGATTTACAGAAAAAATATATAGTTCTGTATATACAGATAAAAGGTTAACTAGACGTTTATAGATACGCAATATACACGATATGGAAAATAAAAGTAGAAAAGGTGACTGGAATCGACGAATCGTCACGTAATTTTTGTACAAATAATCTATATTGGGAATAAGACAGCGAACGAGTGAAGCTCCTTAGAATAAATTTAAAATTTCTTAATTGAGAACTTTCAACAATTAACTGTCATCTGCGAGACTAACCTTTAATATAATTATTTCTTAGTAAATTTTGAAATATGACCCAAAAACAAAGTCATAAATAAGCAAATCTCCATATTTTGATCATATGACTTTCGACATTTTGATCATTGGATATTTTTCTTTCGACGTTTCGAAGTGTTATCACTTGTATATAATTTTTATTTATTTATTTATAACTTATTTATAGTACCCGTTAAGTTCATCTATTGTACTGTACTGTCCTCCAGTCTACTATATTGTGTTAATCTACATAACTAAACTGTAAAAATTAATAAACTACGTTATTAAAAAATAGTATTTTTAAATCCATCGATTTAAAAATCCTACTCACGAACTTGAATCGTTTAATACTATCAGAATTAGCATATCCCAAAACACTAAATTTGAATATACTTATAAACTTTGTTTATTGTAATCAGAACTTCAATTATAGTTATCGTTATTTTCGAGTAAATTAATTAATAAATCTTCAAGTTATATATATTTTTAATTTCTTTAACGTAACCTCTTAATATTAGAAGCAATAACTCAGAACAGACGGTTATTGTTATCAGTATATGACAGTGGTATTATCAGTAGGAGCGATTACAAAAATTTTCTTGATATTGGATAACTTTTATAGTTCAGTATCAGAAAAATCCAGATTAATCTTAAATACAAAATATATTATAGTTTAAAAATGTATATGTACTGTACGTAAATACAGTATTTTTGCGGAATGATCGGCATGCCGCATTTAAAAGGGGGCGACCAGCATGCAGGTTAAACTGCGACTAAAATATAAAATTAAAAGTAATAAAAAAAATCAATGGTTTGTTGACATTGGTAGTAGTGGTGGTTAGTGGGCTACACTGACCATTTACCCTGACCTTAAAAATACCATCTTCCTCTCAAATTTCACACAAAACCGATGTTAATCGGTGTAAGCTGAGCTAATTTCCATCGAGTTTCTTAAATTTAGTATGATTTTTGGGTTTTAGAATCAAATAACAGTAAAATACACATAAAAAGAGCACTTTTGGAATTCCAAGAGTATTTTACATCGTTAGAAGACAAAATGGAGAAATTGAATATATAATCATAGTTTTTTAATATAATACTGGCAGTTTCACACAGTTTTAGAATAAAAACTCGTTCGTTTTTACGTGACGTAACTTATTTGTTTTTTTAATGGAGGGATGTGTAGTTACAATTAAGCCGGCATTCTTCCCTCCCCCTGGATAGACCAGCATGCCAGTCATTCCGCGAAAATGTGGTATATAGGGGAGATCCTTCTACTTTGGGACACTTTTCTTTAAATTTTCATAATTTAAGTTCTAATTGATCTTTAGCTATGACTATTGAATATTTCTATTAGTAATTAATAACATCACTATATATAGTGCAACACTTGACCCTATGCTATTTTGTTTATGAGAAAATGTCAAATAATTACTTGCAGATATTTGTCCCGAGGTACAATCCATGATTGTACAATCCATGATTGTACCTCGAGACACCAATGTTTGTACCTTGGGACACGAACAATCCTAACGTTTTTGTAAATCTTAACTTCCGCAAGATGAAAAAAAGATAGTTTATCCAAGTCTTTTTCTTTATAACAATATTAGCTTTATCAGTTAACAAAAATGTTTATATGCTGGAAATGCAGGTAAGTATAAAGCTTAAGTGTTCTGTAGAAGGCATTTAAATGATTGAAAACCAAAAATAATCTCATTTTTGTATTATGAAAAAGAATAGTCATTACAAATATAGGTCACAAATATTACATTTGTACTAAATTTTTTAGAATTAATACCGCATTTCTGACAGTAATTTTCGAAAATGGTGCAATCTTCGTGCACCCTGAATCGACAGGTAACGCATTGAATCCAGTCTTCTGTGCTCAAAGTACAGTAGTAAAATAATTTTCACCGCATCCCACACAATTATTTTACTCTTGAACTTCATCACATGAGTCGTCAGTCTCTAAGATCCTCACAGAAATTTCATCCGCAGAGCTACTAACTTCAACTTTTTTCTTCTTAAAAACTTCCTTTTTAACAAATTTAACATTTTTATTCACTTCATTCTTTTTCTTCGCGGCCAACAGAAACATAACAACAAAAGTAAACATAATAATATTAAATAAATAGTTGAGAAAAGCAACGCCTTGTACCTTGGGACAGTCCCAAGGTACAAAAAATTCACTGTCCCAAGGTACAATTTTCTCTTGTTTATAACAAAGTATGGTTATAATTTTTGAATTACAGAAATCCAATGTTATTTATTAAAATAAGTGGTTACGAATGTGGTTATCAACTAACTGTACCTTAATTAAATTACTCGCCTCAAAATATTTCGATTAAAACCAAGATCCAAATGGATTGTAAAAAAACAAACACCTATAAAAATCACACAATGTGTCACAGCGTTAAAACTAGTCAAAATAGCCGACTTTACGTCATGCATCCTGAATGTTGTAATGAAATAGCTACTAGATATCGCTACTTACTACTTCTCAATATATTATTTTTCAAATGACGAGCTTGTCCCAAGGTACAAGGTGTCCCAAGGTACAAGGATCTCCCCTAGTATATGATTTATTAATGAATTGGATGTTGAAAAATTAAATTTTATTTCACTCACGAATAAAAAATATATTATTATTATGTGTGATTATAATTGTTATAAATAATGTTATTATTTCAAATGTAAATAAAATAAATAAATAAATACTGATAAATGTATCTGACAATTAAATACAGTATAATATATTTCTGATCATTTAGAGTTAAAATAGAAAAAGTATATATTATATTTCGTTTTATTTTATAATTAATTATTAATTTATACAGTCTTAGTAACATTAGGCTACAATTCAACAAGTCTCAGAAAAACTTCTTCAATAAGAAAAAAATTCAATTAAAAATTGCATTATTTATTTTATTGTTAGTTTAATATCCGTTTCATTCAAAATATATTTTTAATTAAATATTTTTAGTAGTAGTAAAACACTTAATATATTCTAGTTAGAGTCGTACGTATATTCTAGTAGAGTCATATATATAATAAACTTATATAATAATTTCTATAGCCATTTTTTTGCATTTAAAACTTTCCACTAAAACACTTGTAAACTTTCGACCAATTGTTAATATTAATCAAATTATGCAAATAAATTGGAACTTACCTTCATTAATTCGAAGTGTTTCTCTGTAGTTTTGATATTTGGGAACGCTTATTATGCATATCACAATTAAAATTACAATGAAAAAAGTATATCCTCGTCGTAAAATTTTTGATGCCAAATACTTGATAGAACTTCTCCTAAACATGTTTTATCGTCGTGTGATGATGATAAATTACTTTTTATTTTTTATTATCCTTTGACAAAATGATATTAACATCAATAACAAAAACTGTCTCTGTCAAAAATGTTCAAGCCAGTGTCGTGTTCAATAAACTAACAATCAGTCGAACGGAGTTATAAATATAAATATTATTATACGACCTCTGGTGAGTTATTCTTCAACTAATTTAATATAGAATTTATACAATAATATATAATTAAAGTTTATAAAATATATTTATAGTTTATAATTTACACTTGAAGATGATTTAATTCTATTATTTTTCAAATTTTGTTTTTGTTTTTAATTTGATTATTCTATTTATTTTTACAATATGAATTGCCAAAAATTGAAATAAATTAATTAAAATAACATTTTTTTACCTTAAAAATGTTATTATGAATTCTATTAATTTACCAAACATTATAGGCCTTTGTAATAATTATGATTTTTATTGTTATAAAATTTAATCAAACATTTTTTATGTATTAATCATTTAGTTAGACTAAAATAAAATGAGTATATTATATAAAAATGTTTAATTTAATTTATAAATGCGTATTCTGAAATTTATAAAATTAATTCGTAATATTTTAATATATTATTTGATAATTCAATACATTCGCTCTTAAAATAATTTTCCTTTTTCACTTGATGATTATACAATCAACTTTCTAAAAATATGCATGAATTTTTTTTTACATTCAAATAAATTGAATTTTGATGAAAAGTTATAAAAATATAAAACTTCGTTCATTTTATAAAATGCAATATATAATATACGTGCTTATATATGCAATATGGTATAAATTATATAATGGCAGTAATGACAGTTGGTGTATTATATAATAAGAAGTGCTTTATTTATTAAACCAGTTGTTTCCCGCGACTTCACCCGCGGGGGTTTTGTAAGCAAACCCCATTTATATTCAGTATATACAACAACCATTAATTGTTATATAACATCTACCGCTGAGAATGATGAGAATTGCCGAGAATCAAACGAACTATTTTCAATTTTATCAATTTTCTGGAACGTTTACAATCGTTCTATAATCGAACCAATATGCAATAACAAATTCCAATTTAAAACGGTTCGAACGTTTGGTTAAATATCGAAGTATATAAAAATATTTATAACAATGTCTGAAATGTTATCAATTTAAGGGAAACTATGGGAATCAATTTCAAAACCGTTCTTCAGGTTAAGCATTAATGCTCTCCCCCTGAATTCTTAGTATGCGTTTTCATGACGTATCCTAACTGTGCACCAAATTTCACCTTTTTAGGTTCAGCGGTTTGCTCTGAGCGATGATGAATCAATCAGTCAGTCAGTCAGGACAAGTAATTTTATATATTTAGATAATGTTTGGCGCTTCGTGTGTTTTGTAAATTGATATGTGAGTTTCCCTTCATTCTTTCACTATTTTGGGGGGATTGATATTCTAATTTAATATTTTTATATGTCAATTTAATTATTACAATTTAATATGTCAACGCTCTTCCTAACAATGTGACGCAGTAATGTAACACGATGTAACGTGACATGTCATCCTTTTTTTTTAAGTATGTTAGGATGAGATTTGATAATCGCGTGGCTATCTTCTCACGATGAATCAATTGATTTTAACCAGATTTAATAATTTAATAATGAAATTTCGACAATTTGACACAACCTGTTATATTTAGCGCAAACAGCAAAAGCAAATCTTTAACTTAGCCTATATGTAATTTACATTGCATTACGTTCTTCGAATTAAACGAATCGTGCAACAGCAATACTCAGTCAATTAATTACCTCATATGTAAAAATCGAATCTTATTTTAAAAAATAATAATAACTGTGATTATTATTATTAGACTATTATTATTATTTCTATATCAAATATACGATTATGTAAAAGGAATATTTGTTATTTGGATTTATATTGTATATGTAATAAATTTGTAATATTTATTAATAAAATAGTCTTTTAATACATTAACCTGTAAAATTTACTGTTTAATATTTAAATGATGATAACATAATGAACAGCAAAGGAACGTCTATTTAACAATGAAAGTTGTATTTCTATTTATCATCACATATTCCAACATTCAAAAATAAACATAAAAAGTGAAAAAATATATATAATAAAAGAATGTTTAATATACAGTTTTAAATTTTAAGAAAATACTCTAAAGAATATTTTTCTTAAATAAGTCAATAAAAAACATTTCAAGAGTAAATTAAGAAAGTAGGCCTAGGCTATATAAAGATGCATTGGCTTACTGCTGAAGATATCGATTTAGTAGATCAGTAAAAAAAAATACTTGAAAACAAATCGAAAGTACATTAAAATACATTCATAAGAATAAAAAAAAGGAAATTTCATATAAAGTAGAGAAAACAAGCAGTATAAAAACTCTTGTATTTTTCGTGGAAATTTGTATTCGTGATAAGTAATAATAAACTTATCACGAAACAAAATTTTAAGACATCTTTAAAATAACTGTATAAATACAGTTTAAAGCTTATATTCTGATTTTTTCAAACATCAGTAAAATAAATCCTGAGCTTAACACTGTGTTTACATATTTATTTCACTGAGAATTAAATATTTCGGTCGTAAATAAAAATGCTAAAGTAATTTAAAAACAAAAAAAATTCTTTCAAATTTATTCTGTTATTAATTAACTTTAAAATATTCTAGATTCAATATATTAAATTAATATTATGATTTATTTAAGCTAGGTTTTTAAACAAATAAGTAGCTACAATAATTTTCTAAAAAATAATTAATTTAATTCAAAATTTATCCGAAAGATGGCGATAACTGTAATTAACATGAATTTTAATAATTTATATAAAATATATTTTAAAATATTTATTTTTTCTCTTCATAAATGCATATGGCATCGATTAATTAAAATTATTTATTTTTATATTATTTGCAAACTAAAAAAGACGTTTCCTTAAAATAAAAAAAAAACAATTACATTAAAATATAAATTTTAATTCTTATTACATATTTTTATTCATATTCTTACTGTAATATTTTAAAGAAATTTTGAGGTTTTAAATTAATTTTCTTTAATTTATATTAAATAATTTATGACATAATAGTACGAATAATTTTTTAAATAATTTATTTAATTATTTTGAATGTTATAAACAATCCCCAAATGTAGTAAATTATTGAATAACATGGAAAAATAAGCTGCGAATAAGCTGTTATTGAGTATAAATTATGTTAAAGTAGATAAATTTTGTATATTATAATATAAATAATTCAAAATTTATATCTTTGTATTTAGTTATTTACAAGTAAAATAAAATGGGCTCTCGTTACAATACTTTACTAGTTAGATGATTGTAATGGATTTTAATATAAATTTGAATTTCTTCCTTAAAATATTGAATCTGGATGTGCAATAAAGTGTTTTTATTAGTCATTTTTTTATTGATAACGATCAATAAAAAAAGAACGTTATTGCACATCCGTATGAGTAGATGACGAACAGCATATCTGTTTATAATAACTATTTTTAATCTAGATATGATATTAGGGATAAATAACTTTCTCCCAAAATTCAATATTGTCAGGTTATTTTGTAAAAATTATCATCTTTCAAATAATAAATAAAACATCTGTTCTGTTGTACAGAAATAGAACTGTTATAAAAAAACGCACTTAAAATTCATATCACATTTTATTATTTTTATTTAATTTAAAAGATAATAAAATATGATAAATAGAAATTATTTAATACTTTAAAAAAAGGTATATCATCTGTATATATTGTAATTTAAGTGATACATTAAAAATTCTAATCATAGTTAAATTATTTGAAATTTAAAATGTATAGTATCATATGATATTTTCTTACTTTTTTAAAATAATTAAATTAAATTAATATATAGACTAAGATTGAGTAAATTATAACTCACGAGTCTTCAGCTATTCATGCAAAGCAAATTAAATTTATTATTATAATGTATGCCAAATAGGATTTTTCACAAAATACGAGTATATTCTTTTAAATTTTATAATATAGTTTAATATTAAAGAAATACAGGAGGGTGCAAAAGTTGAGAATCTGAGAAATACAAATGTTTAGTGTTCATTATTATTTTTTTTATTATTTTTTATTAGTTCGTATTCCTTATTTGTGATTTAATTTGTACATAAGAATAAATGTTTTTTCGTCCTATTTTCTCTCTGTATGTTTTTTTCCATAATAGTAACTGTATACTTACTTTTGTAACCCCCCTGTATATAACCTCTAATCTCTAATATACTTTTATTTTATTTTTAAATGTAATAAAAATAAATATTTTCACCGACCTGAATTGACCGATTACATCAACATCGTATTTACTGACCCATGTAATTACTTAAATTATTCTTTACGTTTTAGTTAATGCTTCTTTAATTATTATTTATTTAATAATGTCGATATAAAGTCCTACACTATTTTAAATTCTTATTTAAAATATTTAAAAATTAAATATTTTTTAAAAGTTACTTTTTACATTGATCGTTTTATACAGTCATATATAAATTTTGAAATTAAGAATAATAATACTGTATACTCTTAGTGAACATATTGCAACATGTTGAATTTGCCTTTTATAAGCATTTATTTAAAAAATATAATTACATTAAAAAGTCATTAAACCAAACAAGTGGGAAGGGAAATAGTTTTGAGAAAAGAATAAAAATACTTCTCATTCCTATCTCATCAGTACGAGCCAACTTTTTTAGTTTGTAAGCAAAATATTCACTGAATATTTTGCTAAAAATCTGGTAAAAAAATTTTAATTAAGTCCTTATGTGGCAATTTCGAGCATATTAACTTAAATATCAAGTTTTTGGCAGATTAATAAATAAATATAAATATCATGTCATGTCTGTATCGTTTTTCATATCTAATATTTTGTGTTTTAGTGTACAGAATCTATAAATGAAAATTTTAATAATATTTCATTGTTTAAAAAATAAAAGTAAAACAATATTTTATATAAATTGGGGTCTCTTCTATAGAAAATATTTATTTTTTATTCGTTAATTAATATCAGAAAATTTAAAAGTTCTATTTACTTAAATCATTCT